CGCGGCTCGCTCTGCGTCAGAACGCGCGGCTCGCTCTGCGTCAGAACGCGCAGCTCGCTCTGCGTTAGAACATGGGTAGACACAGACACAGAATTCTTATCAGGGAGTATACTAACATTGTTGGACATCATGATGGTGAGCAGAGACTTGTTGTGTGAGTTGAAGGCAACATTAAGCGTAGAGGCTTGCACCATGATGAGGATGGAGTGCAAGACTGAAGAACGAATAGGAAAACTCCAGGGGTCAAAACTCTTCAATCACTCCACTGTTAAAACTTCATTCGAGTTAAATAAAACATTTACACCAGGCAGAACATTCAGATCTACACTGGTCATCATTGCTGTGCATGAGATAAGTGTGTGAAAAAATAAGACGTACAAATGTCATTAAAGTCAGAATTTAAATCTTTCTAAACCTAAAACACCAACATTCATCACTTTTACTCCAAGAGAGCAAAATAAACATAAAAAAGACAAAGAGAAGGAATGCCCTCAAACTACAAGTCACCTTTTATAATGTGGTTTAAAAAAATAATGATTAAAACGAAGGATACAGACGTAACAGACGGCCATGACAAAGTGTGGGATGACTCCTATACTGTCTCTTTTGCGTTCTTTGGGTTCAGTGGCCGTCCAGTACAGAGCATCCAGAATGTCTTGACCGAAGGATGAGATGAGGCGATCTGCCACCTTACAAACAGAAGTTGGATTACAATTTCAGACTTTTAAAATAAATATATAAAACATTCATGGTTTCATCAGCTGAGGTCTGAGTCTGTCGGTGAAAACAGAACTGTCATATAGTAAACGTAGCATTAATACAATCATTCAGACACAAGCATGGGTCATTTGGTACCGAGTCACACAGAAATAGTAAAAACTTTATATTTTAAAGTACATTGGTCTGTGGAGCATTTTATTTTGAAAATGACCACTTCTGTTCGTGCCTCTTGGCTCAGTCGCAGATATTTTACATTTACCAGCAAACATACCAGTACAAGCTAACCCAACAAAAAATATGACCCAGAAACTTCTCTGGAGAACTTCTTTCCCCACCAGTTTGTGGGACAGTCTGTAAACTGAGTCTTGTATGAAAGTGCCCAAATTCAAAAAGGTTAGGAACTGATGCTGATTTAGGGCTTTAGTTAAAAATAAACAAGGAAATCAGGAGGTCACATTTATTAAGCTGAGACCATTAAATATGTTTTTTACTGTTTTCACTGTGTCAAACTATGGTATATGTTTTATGTTAACAAAACTAAAAACATGTAATAAAACATAAAATCTTTAGATTTGGATTTTTCTTGGCTTCAACAGGTAACGTATATAACATAGTTTATATTTCTGGTGGAGTTGTGGCAAAGGTTGGTCAGATTTAGTCGTACCTCGAGCATGTTGTAGATGATGTAGAGCTTGATAACAGACTGTCCTCTGATCAGGTGGTACATCATGGAGTAGTCGACGTAATGCGTCATGGAGAAGCACAGCACCAGGATCAGGCCCTTCAGCATATCGCACACTTGTGCAGGCTGCAGCAGCCGTGTCCCGCTGTTCACGCAGAAACAAAAACACTCTGAGACAAGACGAGCTACAGCATCTGTGCTCGAGTTACTGAATGCACCGTCGCATGCTGAGGAACAAACCGCAGCGTGTCTCACAGTACTTCACATGCACAGGAGTAAATGTGTTTACACCAACGTATGAACGTATGAAAGCATATGCAGCATCATGCACACTGGTTTAGCTGGTGATTCATTAATGTTTCGACTGTTTGGCACAGTGAGATGGTGAGACGTGAGGGGACAGACAGGAGGTTGTTATTTTTAGTTCTTTTATCTTGTCTAACCTTACTCATTACTCCTGGCTACTCAAGCTGGATGAAGTGATAGAGAGCATTCACAGGGAGGAGAGAGTGGTGATGGGAGCAGACCTGAATGGACATGTTGGTGAAGGAAACAGAGGATGAGGAAGTGATGGGTAGGTTTGGTGTCAAGGAAAGAAACCAGGAAGGACAGATGGTGGATTTTGCCAAGAGAATGGAAATGGCTGTAGTAAAGAGGAACATAAGAGCAACAATATTCAATGATATAGCAGAGTGATAAAATGCCTGAGGAATGGAGGAGAAGGGTTCTGGTGGCCATTTTTAAGAACAAGGGTGATGTACAGAGTTGTAGCAACTACAGGGGAATCAAGTTGATGAGTTACACGAAGATCTGGGAGAGAGTTGTGGAAGGTAGATTTTGACAAGAGGTGACTGTTTATAAGCAGCAGTATGGTTTCATGCCAAGAAAGAGTGCCACAGATCCATCTTTGCTTTAAGGATGCTGATGGAGAAGTAGAGAGGAGGTCAGAAAGAACTCCATTGTGTCTTTGTGGATTTAGAAAAAGTATATGACAGGGTGCAGAAGGAGGAGGTGTGGTGTTACATGAGGAACTCTGGAGTGGCAGAGAAGTATGTTAGACTGGAACAGGACATGTATGAGGACAGCAGGACATGTATGGGGACAGCAGGACA